TTTTGTGGTTGGCTTTCTGTTTTGTTCGTGTGTTTTTTGTCTGTGCCGTTGGCTCTGTTCTGATTACCCCTTGGGGGCCGTCCCAATTCTCCCGTGGGGAGCGTTTCTAGTGTTTTGTGTGTTTTCTCCCGTGGAGAGCGTTTCTAGTGTCTTGTGTCGTTTGTGTTTGAGTCGGTTTTATTCTAGTTTGGCTAGCTGGTCGCCTGTCTAAGGGTTATCTAGGCCGCTTTATAGCGTGTCCTCTCAGTTTTCTTTTTCGGCTGTTGGCCCCGATTGTATTGGGTTTGTTGTTCCTTTTTAGTAGTTATATAATACTTCTTTCGTTTCGAAAAAAAGAAAAGAATAAAAACAAAAAACCACACCTAATAAAAACACAAAGGAGCAAGTAGTAAACACCCATATCAAACCGAGTTATAATCAATCCTTACATACAATATGATATTTCCTCTGCAGCTTCTCTACATAACCATCTGCAGCTTGCAACCACACACCACTTATCATGGCTTGTGTTCATAAAGAAGTTGGGAAAAAGAAAAAAGAAAAAATGCCACACATAGCAAACACAGAGGTTGCTTTGATTTATTAAAATCTAGGGACAGCAATCACAGATGTTGCTTCGTAATAGATCACTTCCACTTCTTGAATTTGCCACCATGCATCCCGAATCCGTGCTTGCCTCTCTTGTGCTTGCCATGCTTGCCAAACTTTCCATGCTTGAACTTCCCATGCTTAATCTTGCCATGACCATAATGACCCATGCCATGCATGGGGCCATGACCATAATGACCCATGCCATGGGCACCGCCATGCATCAAATGTGAAGCACCATAAGCGGCAGCAGCAGCTGCAGCACCTCCCGCTAACAGTCCTCCAATGCCGGAACCACCTGAAAAGGCAAACTTCCTACTCAGAGGCGTATACAAATAAAAAAAATGTCATCCAGGTAAAACCATACATTAAATGCTTCGACTATATTTGATTATCATCGAACAGCACAGTAGTTCAGTTGCATACAACGATTGTTTATGAAGATAACCAGCTGCTTAAAATTACAAAAAACCAATAAGGTAATAGCAAATAAATATTATAGGATTCCAATTTTTCATAAATTAATTAAAGAGTGGCACGACTAGAGACTTGGGAATTCAATGAATGGGGCACAAGCTGAAAGACGTAACCCCTTGTATAAGTATTTGTCCCTAACCAGGCAAGGACCGCGTCTTGGAGCAAGGGAGGCAACTTAATTTTTTTTATTTTTTTTTCCCTCTTTTACAGATATATGCATGTATAAATACAAATGCATAAATTGATAAATAGGAGAACATATCGATAGGCAAGTTGATTAATAAAGTTAACTAAATAAACTAATAATAAATCTTAGATAGGTTCATGTCGGGCATCGAGTTGAACTGCTAAATTATATTCAGTCGTTATTCTAGTTCACTAGTATTCCTAAGTCGCATATTTTTTCTTTTTCAACTAGATTGAAGTCAATCACTCTGTTGAACTTTTATTCAGTTCATTGTGACATTGACGTTTATAAACCAAAAATATTTAAAAAAAAAAAGGTAGATTTCGTCCTTTATATTTAGAAAGAAAAAAATCAGATTTCTTATTAATAATTATTAGATAACAAAGCTATCACCGTAACTTCGAAAAAAAAAAAAAAAAATAAACTTAGCAAAATCTGGCTCAACTGAACTAAATTCTTGGCTCCATTCTGAAGCATAATAATACCTTCACTCATACTGCCTCCCCAGCTTTCATTTTCTAGAAACCAACAACATTTTGTCCTCAAGTTCTATTGTTCCTCAAAAGGCAGCACATATCAAGTCTCAATGGTCTATATACATGCTAGATCACTCTAGAACAGCATATAAAAAAAGCGAGAAATAGGAAACAATAAAACAATACCTGGATGTGGTCCATGTGGATATCCGGCAGGTGGGTAGCCAGCTGGTGGGTAGCCAGCTGGCGGGTATCCTTGTTGTGGAGGATAACCTGATGGAGGGTATCCTTGTTGTGGAGGATAACCTGATGGGGGGTACCCTTGTGGAGGGTAGCCTCCAGGGGCAGCTGGGGGGTATTGACTACCTGGGTATCCATAATGGCCCCCAAGATGAGAAAAAAGCCCCTTATCAGATTCGTCGTGCTTGTCCTTTCCACCTCCCATCTCCTCTGGACCTCAATAAACTAATATCACCTGCAGGACCATAGCAGAACACCACCAGTTGGGCCAGACAAGAATGTTAAAATCATTGTGGAGATGCAGAGTTCTATTAGTGCACGTGTATATAGTTTTGACACGAAATCAATCTATCGCATGTATATTCTGCAGTTTCTAAGCATGAGGAAAGCAAGCGATCAGACACTCATAAGGTCAAGCCAATTCTCCTAAGTACCTCTTTAAGTAAACTTCCAAAACCCATTATAGATAGATAACAACATAATCCTATATTACAAGTCTATTTAAACTAGATAATAACAATATTTTAACAAGGAAAAAAATACTCTCCAACGCAGACCAGAATGTAAGAATCAAATGTTACACGATTAAGCATAAAAATTTAATGATCTTCTACTCATGCATCTACCATAACCAGAATCACGTCCACAATCAAGCACAAGTATATAATTAGATATGATCCCAAGAGGGGCACGTAATCGATCACAATGGAGTCACAACAACTGCCCAATTCACCCACGAAATTAAACTAGAACTAGAAAGGAGATCCAATCCGACGATCTCATACAACCTGAAAAGGATTACTTACAGCCCAACATATATATATATATACACAAACAAGAGTTGAAAAAATCCCAAAACCGATCATCACGAATCAACAGTCGAGAAAAGCACAAAAATAGACCAGAAAACTTGCGATCGTGAACGAAATTCATATATTGAAACCGCTAATATGCTTACACAAAATTAGCAGAACAAAAGAAAAAACGATGGACCGAATACACAATGCATCATCAAGGTATGTATCTCGCGAAAACACGACTACTAAGAACAGAAACGAACAATTCTATAGCTGCGCACAGATAAGAGACAGAGAGACAGAGAGAGAGGGGGAGAGCGAACGAAGGGGATCACCTGGAAAATCGCTCCTTGTAAGACGTACTCTTGAATTGAATGTTAGAAGAGAGGATATGAACGAATTCCTGAATGCTTTATAGGCAAAATTTAGCTCTTCAGAAAATATCCGATGGAAATAAATTTGATTCGACGCGTTTCTTAGACGCGTACGTGACGTGTTCAATATAGCAAGACACGTGTTAACGCATCATTTGTGAATAATTATGGATGACTCCATAAGACGTGGCTCACTGGCTCCATAGAAAAATCATTGGGTCAATATTCTGTTGACCATTTGACTCGCATATAGCTCAACCCGAACAGATTTTTCGAGCCGGGTTGTATTTATTTTAAATAGAATTACACTAAATATGAAAAAATCTATTACAAGATTTGACTTTTTGTTATTGTGTCACAATAAGGCCTGAATTTTCAAACTTTTCATTTGATGGTGTTCAATATTAAATTATTCTCAATATAAGACATATTTTTACATTTTATTTTTAATTTAAGACTCTAAATTACTTTATATTTACATATAATAAAAAATATTAAATATCTTTAGTAATTTTTTATTCATATCTTTAGTACATTTACCTAATAAAATATTTATTTCATAATTTACTATGCAAAAGCTTACTGAAACTTATTTTAAAGTTAAAAAATACATTTTAACTTAATTTTAATCGAAATACGTGATGATATTAAAATATAAACTATTTAAAAAAATAATTTTATTTTTTTTAAAATAAACATATAGAAAATAAGAAACCCCTTCTCGCCGAAACCCTTCTCCCCTAAATGGTTTTTTTCTTCCTCGTCGCTGGTTCGATCTCCTTGCCTTCCCCGGCGGCCTCTTGCTGGTGGATGGCCCTTAGCAGCGGTCCCTCGGCCTGATTTGTGCGTTTCCTTCTCGGTTCTCGCCTTTCGGAGATGAGCTCTGTTCGTCGGCCGGGGCTGTTCAACTGGAAGTCGCCGTTCGAGATTCTCTTTGCGTCGCAGTTGGGTTCCCGAAAGTCCGTTGTCTACTCCGTCCATGTACGGCTACCGTTGACGGGTTCCACGGCTCCACTTCCGATGTGGGTCCGATTCTCGTCCCCGACGGTGATTTTCCAACTTTCTTTTGTCGGCTCTGTCTTGGGATGTGGTCGATGGCGGGTTCGACGGCTTTTCCTCCGGTTTGGGTCCGTTTGCTGCAGGAGGTGCATGGTTGGGGTGTTGGGTGCGGCCATGGCGGCTCGACTCGTCTGAGTTGTGGCGGCCGGGGGCTGAGGTGTTTCGATTCTTGCCCTCGGGTCCCCTTTCCGCTGGTGTTGCGGTTCTGGGATGCCGGTATGCCCGAACCTAGGCCAGTGGTGTTGGTCGGGTCTCGGGTTGCTGCGTGTGGAGGACGGGTCGATACTCTTCTGGCTTCGGGTCGGCTTCATCACTGGAGTGGTTCGATGTTCGGGACTTGTTCCCTGCTAGGCATTTGGCAGTGGCGGGAGTGGCGTTCCGGATTTTGGGCCAAGCTGTAGGATGTTAGTCTTTATTTCGTTGGTGCTTTAGGTCGGTTTTAGTATTTAGCTAAGGAAGGACCTTATTCGAAGGTAGTATAGGTTTTTTTTTATTCATGTTATGTTTCTGGCTTTGTATTTGTGTTTTAGGTTTGGGCCGTTCGCCTCGGTTTACCCGAATGTGACCTTTATTATCCCAGTGGAATCGCACACTCGGCATTACCATGTTGGGGTCCTTTTAGTTATTTTTGTTGTTTTAGTTGTTTTTGTTGGTTAGTTTAGTTGCGAGTTTTTATTCTAGCGTTGCTAACTGGGATTCTAGACGGTCTTCTGAGATGTCCTTCCACTTTTTCAACTGTTGGTTGTTCTCATTCAGCTAGGAGCTGCTTGTATTCGCATATTTGTGCCCTTTTGATTTATAATAGTATCTATCGTGTTGGAAAAAAAAAACATATAGAAAATATTATTTTTTAATAAAATTTATATTTTTTAAAAAGTGAAGAATATATAAAATTAATGCCTATAGTAAAAGTATTTATATTTGTAAAAGTAGCTTCGTACCAAAACTAATCCAAATTAGTGACATTCACGCAAAATAAATTTAGCTTAAATGAATTAATTTTCAATTAAAGTAATTTTACTAAAAATATTTCTAATTAATTAAAAAACATTTTTTTTTTAAAAAAGTATTGAGTTTACATAAATATACAAAAATACAAAGTGATTTGGAGTCCTAAATTAAATAGTAGAATGTAAACGTATGACTTATATTGAGAATAACTTAAATTGAAACCTTCAAATGAAAAAACATGAAAATTTGGAACTTATTAACAAAAAGTCAAGACTAAATAATGTTACATCAAAAATAAATTGAAGTAATTAACATAAGTACTATAATAATTAAAGATATTTTTTTTTTTTAATTATTTCTTCTAAAAACAACATATATTTTAACTTTTGAAATGTTCTGCTTATTTTATCAGCATTAAATTTATTTTTTTATTATAATATTTTTTGCATTATTTATTTATCAATAACAAGAAAAGGACTCCCATTAGATCAACTTCAGTGGCAGCGTTTTGGTAAGGTTTGAAATTGTAAACCTGTAGCTTCTCGGTTAAAGGGTATAAGTTTGAAGGTGTTGTAACACATCTTCACATTCTCAAAGATGTGTTTTTTTAATATCCTTTAAGAGCATCTCCAATAGTAAGAATAGATTGCACTCTAAATTGATGGCATGTTGTCCACGTGGCTATATTCCTAAATAACTCTGCAACAGTAGATGTCTAGATACAGTTTGTGTGTGTGTGTGTGTTTGTTTTTGCTCTAAAAAAATGTCAAAAAAGAATGACAAAATACTATAAATTAATACTGAATTATAGCTTACGCTAATATTTATTTTTTGAAAAGCTACTACCCACCATCCAAACTGATATTATTTTTGTATTGGTATTTTTTGAAAGTATCCTTTATCCTTGATATTATTTTTGTATCGGTATTTTTTAAGAGTATCTTTATTCTGGTATTTTTCTTTTATGTATCCAAACTAATATTCCTTAGGTATTTTTGTATCGGTATTTTTTTTAAGACTATCCCTTATTATGTATGGTATTTTTATAT